TAAAAATAATTTTTATTAAGTGACTGCTTCTGTTTATTTAATAAATCCAGTGCTGTAAGAAGCTGGTCTGGTAACTGTAAAGAATATTATCATAATCTACAATACGATGCTATCAGATTATGAGAGCAAATCGGATCTACTTTTTTTCAATGTTACAATGAATTAATATAGATATGAGAATTGTGTGATATACCCAGTGGTTATATCCTTTATGTCCACTATTAAAATACTACGTTATGTCTATTGTCAAAATATTTTTCATCAAAATAAATCCTACCCTCATATTGTAGCCTTATCAATGATTTTGAAGCAATTGAGACAGTAGACTAGAGTCAAGTCCTCAGATCTGCTGCCTAATGCACATAGAATATGATGAAACATTGTATTAACTCAAGCTCAAATCTATCCATTGATAATGTGAAATTAACTAAACAACTGAAACAAAATTGGAGACACATTCTTCAATAAGATAGTAGACAACTTTTCAATCCTTTATTTAGGAACAAAATTTCATTAAGTTGAGAAAAAGGCATCTTGCTATTTCATTTTTAATTTATACATTAAGTATAAATTTATACTTAATGTATAAATTTAAAATGATATGTATATGGTTACATTATGGAGTTTATAACTCGACCAATAAACTCCGTATCATATCTGTATGGCCATACCATATTCCGTAAGAAAATTTTGGATCAATCAAACTTTTACGGTAGGGATACGGAGAATTGACCAACTGTGCATGCGCTAAGTCACCATCAGTTGATATACAATCAGAAGTTGTGCCGGAAGCAACCCACGAAACTTTGACAAATTGGTTGAAACATAACTTTTGACCGACAATGCTGCTTCTGAATAATATAAAATTTTATGATAAGAGTCACTTTGGTCATAAAAAAAATAGAAAAATGAATAAATAATTATAGTAATAGATCTGGCAACATCAGCCAATGATTTTGCACATGCTCATGATGGACTGCTTTGTAAACCGTAAAAAAAGTTTGTTCCTTTATGGATACGGAAAAGGCCTCACGTTAGTTTATAACTATTGCTATAGATATCCAGTGTAGCATACATTTACAAATATGAATACGATTACATTACGGAGTTTATAACTCGACCCTTATAGTGTCCTAGGCAGAAGCTTTCCCACAGATACCCCAGTTTTAAATATATTTAACACCACTGAAGAACTAGTTACCAGATGTGCTAGCTCCAGTATATGTATATTCAATCTCAGAAAATGATTAAATTTCTGTAGGGGGAAATATCCTTAGGTGGCAGAAACATGTTTACAATGCTTGGAAGTTGAGTACAGTGACATTCTTCATTGTATAGATATATAGTATTGTACAGATATGTTCTACAGTTTCTTTATAGTTCCTTTTGACTTTTTTTTCTCCTACGGACACAGTCTACAGCTCTAGTAACGTCCCAACTGTCTCATTCCGAGGTATAATTGAGTCATAAAGAATTTATCCCTTTATTTCCATTTGTAACATGACAGCAATCACCAGTTCGTTTCACTCAAAATTTCGAGCATTCATATATTTTTTTTGGACATGAAATAAATCGCTTTCGGCTAATGACCAAAACTAATAATTTTAATACAAATAATTATACTGGTAGCGTCCTTCGGTCAACGTTCTTTATTTCACCAAAGACAAATTGTTTAAATTTATTCAGAGAAAAGTAATGAAAACAATTTTCTTTTTTCCTTGATTTCATTTTAACGAAGTTGTATATATTCAAATTAAATTAACTTTTATTTATTTATCTATTACAACAATACGTTATAAAATAGAATAGCACACACGTTGCTAAGCGCTAAGCCTAACAAAATTACACGTGGCCGACTGAAAATCGAATGAGACACAATAATAGTTGGATTTAACATTCCATTATAATTAATTGATTTAAAAAGATAATTACCTGCTTTCTCTGAACCATTTTCAATATTTTTGTATATTACAAATTCCTCACAAGCGTGAAGACGATGAAATATACTAAATAACTATAACTTAATTCCAGATAATAGAATCCGGCAGAAGACTAATATGGCAGATGACGAAATAAAAATAAAATTTCATAGCCAAAGAACTACAATTTATATTTAAGAAGAATTTCGAAAAGTAAAAAGTAATTGTGTAGAATAATGTTAAATAATTTATATTAAATAATTATGTTTTACAAGTTAAAAATAAAAAAAATTTCTGGGAAACACGTCTGAATCTTGAAATTTATTTCTGTTGTCAACAGAAAATACGGTATTTTTTATATCTACTTTATACATTATTATTAGTTTTTTCACTTCTTTCACCGTGTGTGCATTAAAAGGGCCGTTTTATCAAACCCATTATGAGTTTGGTCAGGCCCACAATGGGGCGGTTGGATGATGAGGGACGGGGTCCAACATATCCGGACAGACAGATCCATCCAGATACGAACCTGGGAGCCACCACTTTAACCGCTCGCCCATTCGAACGTCAATATTAATGTTATTAAATATATATATATATATATTTATAATTCGATAATACGTCGAATATATATATATATATATATATATATTTATAATTCAGACCAGAATAAGGTTATCATTTTGATTCAACACTTTCAGTATATTTTCGATATAAAATCAAATTTATTTCTAGTGTTGAAATGCTTTCTCCAATACGCACGGGCAAATCAATTCTCTATTTCTCTACTTCTAGTTAGACTTGTCTAACACCTTTACTCTAAAGTTTGAACAAATACCGGTATTGTTTTTTGCTCTCTTTTTGGAAATATATAAGTCAATTGGAAAAGTAAAACTCATAAAACTAAAATTTTATATCATTTAAGATGTCAGTTATCGATCTGGGAGTCGGAATCGAAGCTGAGCGAGCAATTCCAGAAGTTATTCGTGAGCGGCCTGATCCGAATATGTCGGGCAACGTCCTCACCACTCGGCCTTATATGAGAAAAGTCTCGTAAGTTAACATTCGTCTAGGGCCGTGCACAATCTAAAACCTTCACTGCGCGGATTATTCGAGAAAATAAATATACCAATTTTAATTGAATTTAATATTCATTTTAATTTTGAAAAACAGCAAAAAAGACAATTTTTTTGTTTTTAACTGCGTTTTAGTAGGGTATAACATGGGAATGCACACTAAAAAGGAATTTTTCGAAATTTTCCCGCAGAGGAAGAGAGAGAGCATTAAGGCTTAACTGGAAGAACGGTTTCTACTTTACTATTTTAGATGCGATTTTTTAAAATTAAGGTTCTTACACTTAACTAACGGCAAAGAACTAGAATAAGAAATTAATTTTAAAATAAATGTTCATATTTTAAATTGATTTGGAGTAGAATGTATTTTATGACGATATCCAAAGTAAATAATGAACATAAATCTGTAAAAAATATTCGCTTGATTATAAGACCCAAATAATTTACGAGTTGTTTTTCTAGATTTCGATGGATAAGTTTTTGGAAGATACACATATGAATGCAGATATGGATACAGATGTAGAGTTGGAGTTGTCTGAGGAACAATTTGATCCTCCCGGTCTCGGCATGAAATTCCCAACAGATTATGATGATCGAGATGATTTCTTTTGTTGGGAGTTGGAAAGTTATCGAGAAACAAATTATTTAGAAATCGTTCTNTTAAATTTTAATGATTTTTTTATTTTTAAATTTTAATGATTTTTTTCTTATTTCCTTAAGAAAATAAGAAAAAATACGAATAAAGTAATGAAAATAAAATTTAAAACGAATGAAGAAAAGATAATCCCAAAATAACTATGTACAGAGATAATAATCTCTGAAATTCTTCTGTATTCTGTAAAAATAAAATAAAAATAATTAACATCTAAAATATTCAATTATTTAAATAATTTTTGAATCAATAACTTTATGTTCTTCTAAGATACAAATGTGTACGATTGAAACTGAATTATGTTACGGTAGATCTACTATGAAACTAACGCAGCTTATGCTTTAGGGTTTCTAATCTCGGATGGACCCGAAGCAACAACATTTTCGATATTCTGCAGCTTGAACTGTTACGGGGGCCCTTTGTTGCTAGTTTTGGAGAGGCTCCGTAACAATTCAAGCTGCAGAACACCGAAAATGTAGCGAGGCATTGACTGTGAGCAATCAAGCGATGCTGCGACGTGTGATTTATAATGTATCCAATTATAGTACTGTATATTCATATTGACATCACATAAAGTTACTGAATAGCGTAATCTTTCTCTTCATTCATTTATGCTATTGCTTTCGCAGTGTCGCGAAACCACAACCCTATGGATTTTGTCTCAGAAGGGAACACATGCATAATTTAAATCAGTTAACCAACTAATCCATTAAAAATGTGTTCCTTAAGCCCTGGTTTAGATTATACTATTTACATCTGCATAAAATCACCGAAGACTAGTAGTTGGTCGTGGGTTCGCATCGAATGTATACACAAATTAATCGATTTATAGAAATTCAATCAACATTTTTTAATGGCATGTAAACAATTCGCTATGCATTCATTTATACATACAAGTTAAAGATACATACCAAAAGAAGAATCTGAAAAATTTCTTCAATTTGGAGAATTTTTCCTTCTTTGGTGCATGGTCCATTGATTGATTGACATGCACATTGGATGTCGTATCCTCGATTATTCTATTGTATCAAAATAAAACATGTAAATAAATTGAAAACTATTGATAACATATAGTTATCATTATTAATTCAAGATTAAAACAGTAAAATAAAATTAAATGTTTGAATGGAGAATGCAATCGATTTTTCTGCATGAGTGAAAGTGTTATGTATCAAACTATTACACAATTGATGTTATTTATGTATAGCTTTTCAGACAAAGATATTCGGTAGATGGAGTTATGTTACATTGACGTCTTCCAATGGAACAACGTGACATGGACTGATACTATTTTTTTCCCTCAAAGGTTCTGTTAATTCAGAAACATAACACCTTCATCTATAGTAACAGTGTTAAAAGTAGTGTAAAACCTTACTATTATACAATGACGGTTTTACATTTTACAAGTTGGACATTAATATAATATACTGTCTAGAACTAAAAAGCTTGTACAGCTTGCCTTGGATTCGTGTGGAACAGGGCAGAAGTAATACAGAATATATTAATCCACTTAACTTGCAAGAAGCAAATGGGAATGCCACTCCTACAACTTAGCAGTTGTAAAGGATTCTATCTCAGACAAATCTATTTTTACAATTTGCGAATTCATCTAATTGACTGTGATAAAGTTAAAGGTTTATTCTTCACAAAGGACAGAGAATAGTGGAGGTACAGAGGATGAAAATTCTATGCTAACTGACAATCAGATATACACATCATTTAATAATAGAGATTCGTGCGACAGACAGAACAAGAATTTTCAGATTATTTGACTCCTTCAGTATCTGTTAGCAAAAGGTTATTTCAAAACTACAGATCATGAACTTACTGAAGGTAGGTCAGCTATCTACATTCAGACAAACTTTCGATAAATAGAAAAAGTTCTATGAAAACAACAACTTTAATGAACATTAAATTCTTAAATTAACCAAACGTAATATTGTATTAATTAAATCTTTAGACCTTCCTCTTCAATTTTTACAGAAACAAGTTCTAAATTCAAAAAAGGATAATAATCATTGTCGAAATCGAATTTATCATCAATGAAGAACTTGCACATTATTATTAAAGTATAAAAGAAATAGCGAAATTAAATTAAAATGTTATTTTTATTGTGAAAAAATAAATAAAATCCGTTATTAATGTTAGTGAATATTATTCATTTTAATAATAAATAATATCTTTTGTTTTTCCATAATATATTATTAAAATTATTTCATTTCCATAATATAAAAACAATACAGAAAATAAGATAAAAATACGTATTAAATAAATATAAAAACCATACCTATTGAAACGATCTTCAATAACTTCCTGCTCAACTTTCTCATCACAGGTTATAAGATTATTCTCGCTTCCATCGTTAGGAAAGCAAACATCGTTTTTAGAAACCCGTTGCAAATTACAATCGTTGTCGTTGAAACAATCCTCAGTAAGATCGAGAACGATTTCCAAATAATCTGTTTCTTGGTAATTTTTAAAGTCCCAACCGAAGAAATCATTCCAATCGTCATTATCTGTTTCTAATTTCATACTGAGGGTAGGAGGATCAAAATGCTCCTCACACAACAACTATGAATTTCTAGAAACAATAACAGGAAATGAGATAAAAATACCTATCAAATACGTATATACGTAAGATTTTTATATTTAATCTTACCTGTTCAGATAATGGTTGAGAGCTTGCAGCTCAACTTTCCGAGCACGCGATTCATAACGATTTTCGTACTCATCGCAACGACAGCAAACATCCTTTTCATCAACCTGTTGCGAATTAGAATCGTTGTAGCCGAAACAATCCTCGGCAAGATCGACAACAATTTCCAAATAATTTGTTTCTTTATAACTTTCCAACTCCCAACTGAAGAAATCGTCTCGATCATCATAATCTGTTGGGAATATCTTGCCGAGACCGGGAGGATCAAATTGTTCCTCAGACAACTCCAACGCTACATCTCTTTCCACCTCTGCATTCATATGTGCATCTTCCACAAACTCATCCATCGTAATCTAAAAAAAACAGCTCGTAAATTATTTGGGTCAAGCGAATATTTTTCACAGATTTATGTTCATTATTATTTACTTTGGATATCGTAATAAAATACATTCTACTCCAAATCAGTTTAAAATATGGAAATTTATCTTAAAATTAATTTCTTATTCTAGTTCTTTGCCGTTAGTTAAGTGTAAGAACCTTAATTAAGAACCTAACGACAAGTTTCTACATCGGTAATTCTATTTTAAAAAAAATATTTGTACAGTATATTTTATAGTGTGTCAAAATAGTACTCACATTTATATTCAAAGCAATTTTCCTCAAGAAATGAAGCAAAAAATCTCGAAAACTTCTTTCGCCTTCGAAAATACCACTCAACAAAGCAAGCGTAACAATTGAAAAATCTATTGTTGCCCACATTCTTGCGTTTTCGCGTGACGTAGAAACTGACGTAGTAAAACTACTTCAGAGTTTTAAAATATCCGATGAATATTTATTTGTTTCGACCATCCTCATTACAAATGAGTACTATACATTAATTCCTGGGCATTTCAAAAAAGTAGCATTTATAAACTGTACATAAATATATTATTAATGCATAAGCATACATTTTATATTCATAAATAAGTAGTTCCTTCTTTTTCATCGGTTTAAAAAATGTCGAATTTAAAATTTAAGTAGAATTTGGAACAAAAATTTTAATCCGTAATTTTGTAGCGACATTTAGCTAATTATTTAATTTAAATATAATGCTCAATATTATAGAGAAAGAAATTTTAACGAAGTTTGAAAGTAAAATCATTGCTTAACGAGCTTTTACAGGATCGTCTGGCAACCGACAACATGGCGGAAGCAAACAGCGCCATGTTGGAATTCGTCAAACATGGCTTATTTTGTCAAAATAACTTTGAATTAACGCAGATGAATAGTAAAAGTGATGATGATAATGAAATATTTTCATTCACTGCTACTGTTGCTATGATAATGCCTAAAAGAACTTCTCTCTATAGAAAAACGACAACGTTCCATACAACATTTTCAAGCATGGTCTTCTATTTACTACTAGCGACACACCGATATGTTTCAATTGGGCATGTAAATAAAAGTTTTAAATCATCATCAAATAATGTAATATTTAATTACTACGTATGAGATTAAATAGTATTTCATGCTAGAACTGGCCTATTCAATTTTCTGCCTAGACCCATTTTTGCTCGCTAGAAGCAAAAATTAGAATTCAGACTAAAAGTGGGTCGAGTATATACTATCCCACGACTGCCACCGCATTTTGTTGCAGTTATAGTGCTAGTAAAATGTAAACAATACGGCTACGAATCGAAGAAAACTTTCATCATGTGTGAACATCTTTTAAACTTTATAGGCCTATTAAACAACGGTTCGATGTTACTCTGTACAGAGTCGGTAGATTAACTGGTCTTTCGACTTCCTATCTTCGCTCATTGCTAGAATCAACTAGAGACAAATGTTACCACCAGGGGCACTGCAATCACTACAAGACCGCTAGATCGAATCCCTGTGAGGTCGAATGTTTTGTTTTCTTTTTATTGAAAGATATATAACCTTCGAGTTTCATAATTTTTATATGCATTTTATTATAAGAATGAAAAAGCTTTTATTTAAACCCAAAACCAGGTTTATGGATAAATAAATGACACTTAATAAAACATTAAACACCTTCCATCGCTGAGAAATGTTTATTTAATAAAACACTAACATTTTCAGCCTCATGGAATAAACTATCCTCAGGTGTAAATGAGTTCGAACGTATTTTATTAAATAAACATTTCTCAGCGATGGAAGGTGTTTAATGCTTTATTAAGTGTTTTAAAAACGCTGAGTTTTATATTTAGTTAAATAAATGACAAGGAACAAAACTGACACAATAGTATTATTATTATTAAATTGTGCTATTATGTGAATTTATTATACGTTAAAAATTTATTGTACATACAAACAAATTATATTATACATATTAATAATAATAATTATTATTATTATTTGCGTTATTAAAATTTACTTTAAGTGAGAAATTTTTCTATGGTTTTTACTTTCAACTGATGAAATAAATGATTGATTAATCGTTCGCGTGAAAAAATGCAATCGACAAGTAACAAAAAAGTGCAAAAATCTGGAAGTCAAGTAGGACTTGTGACCAGCATTGTCACATCCTATCATCAATGTAACAGAGCACTGATTTAATATATTATCCATTATTGAAAAATAAACATCCATGTTTGGGTTTGTTAATTTTTCGCATACTTTGCTTTCTGCCCAGTACATCAATTGGCAAAGCTTATAGCTTGGATATAACAAACCTCCTCGAGATTTGATGAATGTAAATGTCTTCTCTGGTGCAGCATCCTCAGGTTTTGCTGTTAATATATTTTTGCATTCATCACAACCGAGTGATGGCAGTAGACGATAAATAATATAACCTCCTAAATAATGTAGGATAAACTTAAATGTTTCTGGTGTACAATAATCATGATCTAATAATTCACTATCACTAGGATCTCCATAGTATAAACTTGGATCACAAACAAATTTTCTAAATGTTCTTCCAATTGTTCTTGAACTTCTCTGAATGGTTTTTTATGACTATGAAGAAGATTTTTTAAAGTAATAAGCATAGATCCTGGATCAGTTTGAACTGATGCTCGTTTGGGAGGACGAACCAAACTGTAAACAGTCATCAGTCTGTACAGGTATAAGAACTGTACTGTTGTGGGATGAGAATTGCTTCCACTTCCTTGTCTTATCATTCCAAAGAAACGCTAATTGAAATGAAAACATAAGTTAAGGTTTAATACAAGATTATATAATCATTACACTAAGTCAATTTTACCTCTAATGGGTCCTGATTAAAGTGAGCTGTCAGGATATAATATGAGTTTGGAAGCAATTGTCTGACGAGTGCTAAGATACTAGTCAGCGTCAAGCGTAGATTTTCTGCTGTCTGGTGGCTCAAAAATCCCTTTTGATCAGTGCTTCTAATCTGTAATCTGAATGCTTCCCATCTATTTAACCATTCTAGAGATTCTTCAATAACCTATTTTTAAAAAGTTGTTAATTAAAACATTTATAGTTTTTGCTAGTGAATCATTACTATTACCTTGAGATCATTTGAATCATGTCTGATTCCTTCCTGTGGCAATCTACGATTTAAAGCATCAAAAAGAGCATTGATGTGACGTATGAAACTTATTGTAACATCTGCATTCTTTAGGATAGCAACCTCACGCTGTTTATAAAACAGCATAGCATCAGCAAAAGTATTACTAAATATCTATAAATATATGAGATAAATAAAAGTATTCTTATCAAGTCAAGATTATATAAGTAAAAAAAAGTGTTACTTGAGCTGCCAGCAATACACTCATTCTCTGGAAGTTATTGGGATTAACATGTATTTCTGTCACTTTGGGACATGCCTTTAATCCCTTTGGTAATTTGGAATCTTCATCAACAACTGCTTTAAAATGCTGTAATTCTACCCTTCCTTCAGGAAACTAAAAGTAAAAATGCAGAATAATGCAATGGCTTATATTATAAATTAGGTGAAAACACTTTATTTTCTTAGTTTTACCTGAAAGTATGTATTTTTCAAAAGATTGTTTCGCATACATTTTAAAATATGTGGTACATCAATAATAGCCAGTACTTGTCTATCTGCAGCAGGGTTTGTAAATGAGCATTGTATATTATTTGTGTCTGCACAAATTCCTAGAGCTTTTAAAGCTGCTTTGTTTGTGCTGGCACCATCACAAACTATTGCATTGACTATTGCACCACACTGTTCTAAATGAATAATTGCTTGCAAAATAAGTTTTGCAACAGTAGAACCTGGGACAGAGCTTTTTGAACAGAATGTGCCAATACATTGTACCCAACTAGCAAAGTGAGGTCTGAACATAAACACTAGGCCATGATCACCTGCTGTAAATTCACTCTGTGGCAATTCAGAATTGTCACCATAATCAACAAGTCCAATCATTTCACCAGTAGCTTTTGAAAGTTCTATATGTTTTTGAAGTGTGATTTCATCAAAAATTAAAACTCCCTGGCGTTCTGTTTGTGGAATTGTCTCCAATTTTGTCTTTAAAATAACAAAAAGATCTTCATCAAATCCAAATTTGGCATTAATGCCTCTGATATATTGATGCAGTGTAGACTGACAGGGTAAAGGCAAGTAATCATTATTTCTCAAAAATTCATAGAGAGATGGTGACCTAATTTTTAAAAGTAAACAGTCAAGTAACCAATTAATGTCATATCTCATACCCTTTTTGCTTTTTATATGGCATGCTTTCAGCATGTGCTCTATTATAAGTTTCTGTCTTGGTGGTAAGGAATCAAGTTTATCAGCTGACAACTGTTTCATTTTAAGTTCAGTATTTTCTTGATGAAGCTTGAGATTTTCTGTTTGAAGGGTTTTCAGTTTCTTCCTATAGATCATCTTTTGCTTTCTGCACCGATATAAATCCTCTTTGACTTTTAACAATTCAGACTGCAAAGCAGAGATTTTATTGACATATAACAGCTCAGGATGCTGTGTAGTTGCTGCTTCAGATGTGGAGGGTTCTTCTACTTCCTTTTCTACAGTTGTTACTTGGGAGTGTGTATCATGCAAATCTAATGATTGATAAAAAAAAATATCAGACAATTAATCTTAAAGTATTTATAAGGAAAGATGGGCCACAGAGAGATAACCCTCAGTGAATCACAGTGGATCTCACAAACCCAGCTCAATCTTTACTTAATTTTTAAATATAAAATGTTCCTTAAATATAGATAAAATAGATAGATAGATAAAATTTAATTTTATATTAAAACACAGGGTCCGAGAGACGCACTGCAACTCAGGCAAGGGCAAAAAATTACATGACTCACTGAGGATTAAGATTACATAAAAACCATAAATAGTTACCTTTGGTATTGTCTTTTTGTGATCCCTTCCTAGATGGTTCTTCATTTCTTGTGAGACATCGCGTTGATCGTTTTTGAGGTACAGACCTACTAATGTACTTAGGACAATTAGGGAAGTTTGATGGATATGCATCCGACGTTAATGCCCAGCGATCTCGTGGAATTTCTACTTTCTCTCCATTTATAACATGAGAGAAGGTTTTTAAAATAAATCTACTCGCAAAATGTACGTCACAAACGTAACATTTATTTGTTAGCATCTTGTCGTCTCGTGGAATGCATCGCATCCACTCCTCAATCTTATCGCTAGGAGCACGGAAGAAATGTCTCTTCTCGTTCGATGACTTATATCCTGCCTTGCATCCTGGCACAAAGCACGTTGGCATTTTTATGGAGCTAAAAAAACAATTATTATAGGTCAAAATCACTGACTTCAGTATATACCTAGCAAGAACAACGATCTCCTGCTAACAGTGGCGCCGACTAGCGGCAAATATTGTCTCTAGCTAAGTTTGAACTATTAGTCGAAAGACCAGTTAATCTACCGACTCTGCTCTGTATCCCAGTGCAAATATAAACAGGGAGATTATTATAATGATCAGAAAATTCTTTTAGGTACAAAGCAAATTAAGTAAAGTAGATTTTGAAGGTAAAGATTGGAAAAAACGTATAACGACTCGATGGTTTTTCAGCAATTGCATAAAGTTTTTCAGTTTAAGCTGTGACTTATTTGTCCTACTATATATTGAAAAAAAACCACGGTGAAAAAGATATTACAGTGCAGTATTTTTATTTTTATTATAATTTTTTTTTTATTTTTGTAATTCACATACCTACTTCCAGTATTCGCTTGTGCCAGAAAATATAGGTGGCGTATGAGTCGACCAAAATGGCTGCCACAAAGGGTATAGCGTGCGTGGCAATATACGAGAGCTACGTGTGTTGTCTTTTTAATGTATTTTTCTCTCTGTAGTCAAAACGTTTTATTCGCATTTGTGTCCGACATTAATCCTAGTTGATTTCGTAGTTGTTTAAGTCATGATGATTACACCTTATGACATTTTAGAATATGTGGGTGATCGGAAAAGAGGCCTTATAATGAGAGGAAATGCTAAAG